ACCACTCTTTCTAAGTGCTTTCATAATCCCTTTCAGATCCAGTGTGTCAAGATAGGTGATATCAAGTCCTCTTTTCTCAACGTTACAAAGGGAGTTCCCCAAGGTTTAGTGCTTGGAACAGTGCTGTTAACAATTTATATAAATTACATTACCACTTCATTACACAATTGTATTCTCCATCTTTATGCGGATGACACCGTCCTTTATACTTCTTCCAATACCATTCATGATGCAACTCTCAAATCTGTAGCGAGCATTTAACCTTCTACAAAACCATCTGCACAAGTTGAAACTGGTCCTGAAATGTGTAAAGACTAAACGGATGACATTTCAAAATTCAAGGCATATTGATTATAGCAGTGTTTAAATTCCACCTGACAATAATACAGTAATAGAGAGAGTGCACTATTTTAAAAATCTTGGTATCTGGATAGATTAAGAACTTACTTTTTCAATACAAATTGGAAATCTTTTCTCTAAACTAAGACAGAAACTGGGCTTCCTTCCTTTTTAGAAATACATTTTTCTTCCCTTTATTCACTGGGAGAATAATTATAGGAGCAGTTGTCCTTTCTTAATGTGATTATGGGGATGCTATCTATGGCCACGCAGCCAGTACAACTTTAAAACTGAGAATGCAGTTTATCACTTTGCACTGAGATTAATTTCTGGAGACAGCTACAGTATGGGACACATTATTGTCTTTTGTACCAAAATAGGCCGGTCTGCTCTAACAATAAGGACAGATCGGGACCTTTATCTATTTATTCATAAAACACTTTATAAACTACCTCTGTATCTCCCAACTTTGTTTTCTTTTAAAAAGGGAGGCTATTCATGGCTCACCCCAAAAGTTCCCGAAATCCATACAGAGTTAAGAAGATCTGCTAAATTTTTAAGATAACCACATTAATAACACTGAGACAATTCAAAGTTATAATTAGTCAAATTTAGAAAGTGTGCAGGAGTTTGTCTGCATATTTTGTACTGTAAATGAAAAACAAGAAATGACCCAATATTGGGTGCCAAGGAATTCTGTCTTTGACGCTGTGGTAATGAAACAGGTATCAATAATGGTTTAATTTTTACTTGTATTATATTTAAGTTAAAATACCTGGTATTGTGACAGCTCTAGAACTAGATGCACTACTTTCTGACAAACCATACATTGTTAGTTTACAGAAAGAAGTATTTTTTTTATTTTTTTTATTTAGATTTTTGCATTTTGGAAGCATTTAGGGGGGCACAGCAAATATGTAAACCCTTGACTGTTGGATTCGTGTATTTTCAGAAATGTCTCACAAATCAAAGTGTCAATCAGTAGTAAGAGTGACTTCTTATCATACAAAAAACGTAGACATTTTATTGCATTTCTACCGTATTTCACATGAACCTGTGTATGACATGTGTCAAGATTCACTCTGTACAGTAACACACACAAACACACACACATCCAAACACAAACTAAATGTTTAATGTAGAATCTACTCACTTTTCTCCCTGCAGCTTGTTGGTTTTTACTATGAGGTCTTGAGTTTGCTCCTTTGCAGCCTGTTGGAGAAAAGTAACTTCATTTTAAAAGATGGTCAAGCTTCAAGTAATGTTCTAAAAAAGGAATACTAATACAAAGCCACTCTATTGTTGATATTTACTCTTCTGTAAATAAACGTAAAACTGGGGGATTTCTAAATGGGGCACACAGATGATACACTGTACCTTTAATGTGCTTGTCATTTCTTCACAACACGTACTCATCGCCTGGACATCTTCATTAACACTTTCAAGCTCCTATCGGGAATGTAAAGTGAAAGTTACAACAGTATTGAGATAACACAGTTCACATATAAGCTGGTGAGTACCTTGGTTAGATCACACGTTTCCAGTTCCCGCACTAAAGCCTTTTGCTACTAAATAATTATCAGTAAACGAACTGAACCACTACAGCAACTGCATGTGAATATTCATTTCACTTATTACACACTTATCTGCTGTTCTTGGGGTAATAACCTACCTCTTTTACTTCCTTAAATATCCGTGCAAACTCCTCATTGATCCCCAGGCTTCGTCTCTCTATGTCCCCGCGAAGATTTCTCCTGGTGCGCAAACTGTTCTCAGTGAAGAACACAGAGAGCGCCTTTAGGGCCTCCAGCATCTCCTGAAAGCACAAAATGGAAATCACATTGCAAGTCAGCCGTGGTGCCCGCGACATGTTAACCTTGCAGTCAAATGAATGGAGCTAAAATGAAGCATAGGGTGCGTACAGAGGTCTTTTTGTAACGTGAATTTACCCTCGTTCAGAATAAGTTACACTGTGATTCAGAAACCTCTCATCACTATACAACCAGGCCCTGAAAATAATGGACAAAAAAACCTGTCCGCTGGCATCACTGTCACACTGTCCTCTTCTCTACCAGAAAGCAGAGGACGTACTGCGTTTACAGCATGGTGGGGAATAGTGCTTTTTCATACTGAAAAAACACAATCTACTCAGTTTTGAGAGCTTTATGCACTTATGTTAAATGTATCAACAATCTGGCCCCTGAGCCTCTCTCCAGATATGTTCGAGAACAGGACGGAAACAGGGTAACGAGAAGCGCTGTGAATGGAGACTGTAGCGTACAACATCGTAGATCTACGTTTGGTCAATCAGCCTTCTCCATCAAAGGCTGCAAACTCTGGAACACCTTAAACACCTGAAATAAAATGAATGTCCGACTTCAAATCTTTGACAAAACAGGTGAAATGCTGGCTCAAAGCAAGCCAGAGCTGTACCCACTTTTAATTAATATCTTCAAACTTTATTTTAAACTGGTTTATAACATTTGTATTGTTGTACATGTATTTCAATGTATCCTCATATCGTGTTATGGGGTTTTATGTAACTGAATGTTGTACATTTTAATCTGTGTGTTTACACAAAGGCCCAACTGGGGACACGAGTTGGAAATTAGCACTAGCTGTATACTCTTCATGCAGCACATCAGTTTCATGCTTTGTATTGAAATTATGTTAAATTGCATTGTCCCTATTAAATAACTAAATTCAAATTATTTGATAAACCCCTGGTACCCTGCAGTAACTGAAAGGCACGATAAACTGAGAAAGGCTAGAACAGGTGTTGTGCAGAAATAAGATATACTTTATTCATCCCAGCAGGGAAATGTAGGTGTTCCTGCAGCCAGCATGCATACAAACACACAACACAACACATATATACATACATACAAAAACACAACACAACACATATATACATACATACAAACACACAACACAACACATACATACAAAAACACAACACAACACATATATACATGCATACAAACACACAACACAACACATATATACATACATACAAAAACACAACACAACACATATATACATGTATACAAACACACAACACAACACATATATACATACATACAAAAACACATGAGCCCACAACAGATAGCCAGGATAAAAAAAAAAAGTGGTCTGGATGGTCCATGTGCAGAAGTAGCTGTTACTCATAGATAACAGTACAAAATACTAGCTCTGCCAGTGCATAGTATGATAGATAAATAAAGAATTATTATTAAAAAAAACAGTTAAGTGTGCAAAAATACAGTTTGATATATGCAGCGCAGAATTGCATGCACCTCGGGGATGCATCTTTTATTTCAGGGGGGGCGACAGCAGCAAGATGCAAGCGTAATTTTCTTTTATGAGTAATTGTTTAAAAACGTCCTTTACCACAACTGATGCGGTAAATGAACACAATAGATCCACTGGGTGAAGATAATATGACAGAAGGGCGTTAATCAGTGATGTGCAGGAAGCAGCCTGCAGCCTTTAGCTCGTATTAGTTAGCCGACAACAGGCAGAGAAAACGTCCTCTCACCTTGTCGTTGTCGAGCCTCGTCTCCAGTATTTTGTTGAGCTTTCTTGAGAGCGGGTTATTGACTTGAGAAGGCGCGTTGGGGTTCTGTATTACAGTGGAGCTATCGTGGGACATTTCTACCTTTGTATCAGCCATGGTTGCGCACAAACTGCTCCACGTCAACTTTCTGAAAGATGTTTTGGTCCGTCTGGAATTACCGTCCGGTCGTTTTTTTTTGAGATTCCAAACCGATATAATGTTCCGCTTTGTGCGGTAATTCAATTTGTTGGAAATACAGTTTTGTTTATCACGTGTGATAAGTCACAAAAGCATGTTGATACTAATAAATGTGAGGGCATCAAGTACGTGTCATGGATTTTCTACAAAGGCAATAGGATAATGGTTTGCAAGTCGTAGGCTACCTGAAAAGGTAGAGCAGTGGGTCTTTGAGTCAGTTTATTGAGTCTTTTAAAAGACAAGAGATACGAGATCAACATTTACATTGAGTCCCACGAAAAACATGCACGCGTTTTTTTTTGACACAAATGAATTATTTTGACATTCAGGATGAGAGGGAAATGCTGCGTTTAAGTACAGTTGGAAATATTCATTTTAGACATTTTTCAAGTTGATTTTAGTTTTCTAATTCAGTAATTGGTTAGATTAAATACTCAACCCGTTTTGCAATGTTATCATTGATGTCTTGCATGAATCTTTGCCCTTTATTATATTTGTATGTCCATAGCTAAAAGATTTGGCAGTGAGTAAATTATTTTTTCTTAAACTAAAAAAATGTAAATTAAATCACATAATTTTCCTCATGATATGGACCTGTGGGTCTGAAATAAAGGAAAGGGAAGTTTCATGCTGGACTTCGCGCTCAACACATTGTATAGCCTTTCAACATGGTCCAAGAATTTTATTTCCAGGTGTAGTCTAGCAGGGACAAGGTGGACTTGAACGCATCATGAGCATGTGGGGGAATGATAGTAGCGGTGAGTCCAGCCCCTGGGTGGGGATTTGTGTGATTGATGGTCACCTCCCGAGAGTGTTTCATGGACTCGCCCCTTCCCCGCCCCTCTTTCTCTCTCTCTCTCTCTCTCTCTCTCTCTCTTTTCTCTCTCTCTCTCTCTCTCTCTCTCTCTCTCTCTGATCAGGAATGTGGAAGCTTTCTGGAGTCCACTCAGTCAGCGCTGCACGTTGCTGCCCCACGCAGGAGTGAATAAGTGATCTTTGCCTCGCTTAAATGTATTGATGAGGAGGAAGTGATTTGTGAACTGAGCCCCTTGGTCACTTTTTTGGGATTTATATTCATTGTCGAAGGCGTTTTCTTTTTTCTTTTTTTCGTTTCCTCCTCGGGTTAAAGAAAAGTTTGCTTTTGGACCAAGCACAGCTGGAGTCAGCAGATGGAAATACGCTCCAAGTGTTCACCGAGCCCACCTTTTTCCGGAGGTCTCCCAACATGTAAGCTGTCTTCTTCTTTCTTTTTCTCCCCCCCCACCCCAAGCCTTGTTTTCATTACTCACATTCCGATAGTGAGGTCCCTGCGTTAACACAGCTAGAGGACCCCCTAAGAAAATCACTATAACGCGTATGTATGGTGCCTGTTCCTGCCGGGTAGTGTGAATTGAATTACACGTCCATAAACCATTGATTTTATAACACTTAATGAGTTTTTGATATCATTTCAAAGTCCCATGGATCAAGCCATGGGCTGTTTTATTTGTAGTATTGCTTTGATGTGTGTTGCCTTGAACCAGTTTGAGGTTAATAAGTTATTTGCAGGCTTGTCCTAATGCTCTTTGGTAGAAGAGTCATCGCTCTTCAAATTGAAAGTAATTGTACACTAGCAATAGGCTACATGTTGTACCACCTTTTATGATAAATCTCTACCTTTTCGGATGTAGGTTATTAATTATTAACGTTTCCAGTTTTCATTTAAAAGTTTATCAGTTATTGGAGTTATCACTGTTTTCAAAATAAAACTACATCTGCACTTTCTATTCCGAATGTTTTTTTTTGTTGTTTTATAGCCTACAATTTATTTAAAGTTACTATTTTTTTTCCTTACTTTTTCTCTTCTTAAGCTTCCTATGGTCTATGATGCTACAACATAGCATTTGCAACAACCTTTGATTAATGACTGTGATGAATATCAGCTTATCAAATTGACTTGATTACTTATTTGCATGAGTTTGACAATAATCCATGCTGTTGTGTTTGCCCATTATGTATGGAGCCAATTATTGATGTTTTGAATCCATCTAGAAGAACTACAAGCTTGTCCAGATTTGTCAATATCCTTATTTCATCAATTAGAAGACGTATTTCAGTATTTGACTGAAAAATAACTATGTTAGGAACAATACTTGGATTTTTCACATCTTTAATGAAATCAGCTTTTATAGTGACTATAGGGAAGCTGTTTCAATTTATGGAGCTGTGATTTATTTCATGCCTAAAGCCACCAGCTTGTTCCCACAGATGATTTGTCTGTCAGTGCTCACACTGGATGTTTCTCTCCTGACAGGGACCCAGAGTCACTGAGGAGGTGAAGACTGCTGGTGTTAAATGCTCACTGCGAGGCGTCCTGCACACAGCGACTGCTCATAAAAGTGCTGTTAGTTCAGTGACTGTGTGAAGCGTTCACAGACTGTTTACCATGGCGTCCAGTCTGACATGTACGGGTGTTATCTGGGCCCTGCTGTCCCTGCTGTGTGCTGCTGCCTCCTGCGTCGGCTTCTTCATGCCCTACTGGCTGCTGGGGACACAGATGGACAAGCCTGTGTCCTTTGGCACCTTTCGTCGCTGCTCCTACCCTGTTAGAGATGAGGAGAGGCAGGCCACCGTGATGTTGGAGCAGTGTGGGCGCTACGCCTCCTTCCACGGCATCCCCAGTCTGGAGTGGAGGATCTGCACCGTGGTGACAGGCGTCGGGTGTGGCCTCCTCCTGCTGGTGGCGCTCACAGCTCTCATGGGCTGCTGCATCTCTGACCTCATCTCTCGCACAATCGGGCGTGTGGCGGGAGGCATCCAGTTTGTTGGAGGTGAGTTTATGTTTGCCTGATGCTATGTTTTTATTTGCACCAGCTTTCAAACTATAACCTATCTTAATGAAACAAGGGCGATAAGTGCAAAGGCTATGGTTACAATCATAGGGCGTCAAGTTTGTAACTCTCAGATCACATGTTTCTGATTTTTTTTTCTTGGGTTCCGAGGGAATACAAGAAGCATGCAAAGTATCTATAGGACATTATACAAGAGAATTACCAGAGACCATTTTTTTTACCAGAGACCATTTTCAGATGTGTTCAGAAAAAAAAAACGGGGATCCACTCCAGATCTTGAATCGATTTAAAATGCATTTCCAATCAGATTTGTGTTAGTTAATCACTCTTGCTGCTGAAATCTGTAACTCACTCTGAGCCATACATTGACAAGGTCAAATCTAAAGTGGTGGAAGTGCATCGGAGTAGCTAAGCCAAACTCTTATCATCCATGGGCCTCAAATGTTGCTGAATATGTTTGGTGCAAAGGAGCTACTTTGGACCTCTACCCGACTGCACCGTTGTTTGATTGGAAGGATGATTGATCTCGATGACTCATGCTTCTGCTTTTTAAAGCCAAGTCGCCATTAGGGTGGTGCAATTAATTGGGATATTATCGTTATCACTATATGAGCCTTGGCAATTGACACATCAAAGAAGTCTGAATTTATTGCAATTTATTAGCCTAGGTATAATGTTCAGGATTTGGAGACATTTAGATGAAGCTAAAGATAGCTTTGAGCCACCCTCAGATACATTTACGCCAATCTAGTGGAGAAAGAAACTTTTTGGATTTATTCTGGATACATGAGGGAGATATTGCAACCTCAGGTATTGTGTTAAACATGAAAAACTGTACGTTGTAGCCAGAATGCACTCTTCACTATTTGTTTATTTATCGCAGTCCATGCCATTATTGCAATATTGTGCAGCGTTATCGCACATCACATGTTTTTCCAGTATCATGCAGGCCTAGTTACAATCAGTTAGTTACTGAGCCCCCCCCCCCAAGTTATTACCACAGCAACTCACACAGACATGTTGGTGATGTCTGGAGGACACACGGATCCATCCTGATCACTCGTACATGACAGTGTGCCGTTATGCCTGTACATAGCCTCAAAGGAGTATTTATCTTCTCCCAAATGTTGTTTGAAACGCTCAGACAAAAGTGTAATAAAGCATCACAGTTGTCAGGAAACAATTGGGCGTAGAAATAATGATAACCTGACATTTTCTCCTCTGGCCATCTTTTCTTTGCCAGCAGACCCGCTGTTAGCCCAGAAAAGCTGTTGTTTCCTCAGATACTTGGCACTACTAGACATGGAAAGTCTCCCACCGTGATGTTGGTCATGTTGCAAAATGATGTTGGGTCTGTTTATAAATATTTATTCATGACTGCAGTTTGGAAAGGAATTATGGAACTATATGTCCTTCTCAATATTTGACTTCTTACTGAGTCTGTCGGTCCGGTGTGTGTGTGTGTGTGTGTGTGTGTGTGCGTGTGTGTGTGTGTGGTTCTGTGTATAGTTCATGATCCCATTTAAAAAAAAAGGTTGGATGAGTCTCAAATGTTGTGGCTAAGTTGTGACCATAGACTATATGGACAGCAGAACTGCTCGCAGGTGGTGAAGCCAAAATACTTAGCACTCCCTCTACTGACTGGCTGCAGTTTAGGTCATAAACCCAGCCTCCTTCATGTTGCCAAAGGGGACATTGGTCAAACTATAAAATCAAAATACACGTCATACACATACTCAAACCCGGTTTTGTAATGATAGTTATTGGCTTCTTTTTTGTGGGTGGATGCAGAGCCACTTTGTCCTATATTTATACCGTCTATTGTTGAAAACACTCACACAAAAAAAAATACTTTCACAACAACTTCCTGTATCCCTTTTTCTCTTATGTGCAGAAAACTTTTGGAGTCAAATCATATCTTTTTGTTGTTGCAGTTTGATTCATGAAATGATGGAAAATAGAGCATCGTATGGGTTACAAGCATTCCCAAACAACATCAGAATGATTCTTCAGTGCTTTGAGTATGGTCCAGAATGCGCCCCTTGAAGCTGAAAAAAATCCCTTGCTGTTTCTCTTTTCAAAAAAGTTCTGCCCACACTTCAGCTCTGTCAATAAAAGACTTTGTGTTAGTTTGTTTGTTTGTTTGTTTGATTACAGTGAGTGGACAGAGCTCAACGCGACACTAGTTTGGTTTGTGTGCACGGTTGGTTTTGCACATCTGTTCTCCCGGGACGTGAGGTCTGAGGGAAGGCTTCCATTGAAGCTGCAAGTTTCTCTGCCCTAGTTTAAGAAGCTGCAGCACTCCAGCCCTCTCATTAGCTCCAAAGAGGTTCTCTCACATACTGTGGCTCACCAGCCATGCTATTTACAATCCCCATCACTTCAGCTCGGCTTTAAAGAAGTGATGTGACAGAAAAGCAGGTTGCAGGCAGATTTGACAGAGCTGGCAGGTCTTTCAGAGGGATAAATCTGCAGAGGACCACCACATTGCACCATGTCCTACTTCTAAAAGGCTTAGCTACTTAGGAACATCAGTATTAATGATGTATAATATGGAGGATGATGAAGGTGAAGGCTGGCTAGTTTATTCAGGAATGTGCACTTTTATGTAAGGAGAGCTCCTTTAAAGCTCACAGCAACCCCACACATACAGAATTACAGCTCGTTGCTATTTTTGGTGAGAGGATTAAAAACTCCACGTCCGTCTTTCTTTTGATTTCTCTCCTTGGTAGACTCACAAATCCAGACACGCATGAATTTAGATGGAGCAGGAGCAAAAGAAGGTGGGGTTCAATACACGGGGCACTGCTTGGTTCTTTTTTTATGAATGCATGGGAGCCGAAAGGGCAGAGACGTCTCTGAAGGCATAATTGGATGTGACACAATTGAAAAGCTCGGTGGGCTGCTCCATGTTTTGTCTCCGATCACTTTACAGAGGGAGTGGAAATGTTGAGGCGCGCGGGGGGTAAGTTTAGAGGGAGGGGAAAAAAATACCTGATGATTGAAACATTCTGCATTCCCTTCTTATTAACTGAGAACCTCGCTGAGAAATAAAGACCCACAGGGAGAAAAGGGGAATGTGTGCTGAGCGATATGATCAAATCTCAGCGATTAGCAGGACCTGAGAGAGGGAGTAAATGAGGCGAGCAGTCAGGCAGGCAACGCATGCGAATCCAACAAAAGCCACACGGTTGACTGTCTGATGCTACAGTGTCTTCTTCCTTTTGTGTCTCCTCGGCTCCTATTGTCGGACACTAATGAGGAGTGTCTCGGAGAGGACGGGGCCTCCAGGCTGCCACAAGTGAAACATCCACTTTACATCATCCTGTAATTTATCTCGATCCAATCAAATAGATTAAAGCTTTACGGATTTATCAGAGTCTTATCTTATTAGCTGCAGCCAGACTAAAAGAATAACTAAACCTAATGTTGCATGTGTTGTTGTTTACCTAATTTAATGCTGTTTTTAAGTCCAGCACTGCTTAATTGGTAATGGCAGAGGCCCAGAGAGTCAGTATGAGTGTGAGTGTGAGAATATGAGGCTTTTCTGGCTCATAAATCAAAGGCTTGAGAACTCTGTGCTGCTTACATTAAACCACTGCCTTCACTGTAGTTTTTGTTTTAGTTATGCAGCGGTGCAGACTCAGTACGTCTGTGGCACTGAGGGGAGGTTCAGACATTCAAAGATTCTTCACTTGGATTTGGTTGTTAGGGATTTTGACCCCCCCTGCAGAGCCTTGCCTTGTCTATGGGTGCCCCAAGCAGAGCTGCACACAGCGGGAGGAAAGCTTTTTAACGTTTGTTTGCAACAGAAGGGATTTAAGACCTCTATTTACACTTCTTCTTGTATGGATTTCCCCTTCAGCACTTTTAAAAGCCTTTAATTTATGCTTTTTCAAGACCCGTTTTTGACAAATTTGCTCTCTGCACATGGCATTTTTCTATTTGATTACCTTGTGATAGCCAAAGAAGAATTTGACAGCCCCCCTGACTGGGTGACTGTACTTGTCCATTACCAATACCATAGTAGGAAGTGACCTGTGCCCCAGGAAGTTGGTGTCTAATTGCCTTTTTCATGATTTAAAAAGCAGGTTCTAATGCACTACAGATAGTTTTTGTAGGTTGTGAATCCAGTCTGACGTTCCTGTTTTATATATTTACTATTAAAGGTCATGGTGTTTGATTATTTTGTCTCTTTGCTGGATATTTTTTTCCAGCTCTCATTGACTTTGATTATAATTGTAGACTGTGAACTTTGAGGATGTCTTTTTAGGTTGCTGACTGTACCTCTTTGGCCCTTCACTTTTGCACGCTCCTGCAGAGGTCAGAGTACCCTGTTTCTGTAAGTGAGGGTCGTATAAGGATCCTCTAGCCCCCCCAGATTTCACTCCAAACATACGAATTGTAGATGAAGAAGACATTTCTGAGAATGTTTTGCAAACTAAGACTGTTTGATGGCTTCTGATGGAAATAATCCTCCATCTTTGCAAAGAACAATCACAATGTCAGCAGAATGTTTAGGCGATTTTTGGGTGAAAGAACATCTTTTCCATGTCCCATAAGCTTCATAAATATGCCATAAGGTATAGTGCCTTGTATCCATATGTGACCATGTCAACCCATACCCTCTGTTTCTCCTTCCTGAGGGGCCTTACCTTTGGATTTGGGGCTGGGCATTATTAACCAGGATTGAAATAGACCCAGTTTATTTCCCTGAAAACAATACCTTGTTGTGAATCAAATAAAGCTGCTGTCATCCAAAAACACAAAGATTACAAATATAGATTTTCAACAACTGAAGCCAAAATAACACCAGCAGTAACATTAGGAGAGGCAGCGGAGGAGAATAGTTCCCTAACCTGCCTCAAAAATATTGCCTTGACCTGCAGAGAATGTCAGCTGAATTGAAATCATTTTATCCCTTGATAAAAATGTCAAGACACATAGCTTCTCAGGGCTGTAGAGGATATGGGCTGTTT